TTTTTTTTCACGTTTAGTATAGAAATTTGTAATAAGGTACATAATGCGGTTATAATAAAATATTAATTTTAATTAATTCAAAGTACGTTAAAATATGAAAATAATTGCCCAATATGTATTTATATTTTAGAAAATATAAGAGAAGCGGCGCTTCCACAGCTTCCGTGGACGGCACGCCACTGCTCGTTTATTTTCAAGTATGATCTCTCCATTTTATTGACTGTTTCTACGTGCCACACACCGCAATTTGAGTACTACGCTCTAAATATAGATAAAAATATGTTTTTCATGACTCATTGTAAAAAATACTTTCGCATTGATTTCGTTGAAATCGGATAAGTCTTTGTATAAAATAGTAACTTAATACTTTTAAAAAATAAAAAATTTTATCTGCACAACTAAAATAATACTCACCTGAAATGCCAAACAGATAACAGTTGCAATGGCCGATGGTAACAATAGTGTTTTGCTGAGTATTATTATTGTCTAAAAACAAGAGAAGCAAATCAAAACTTCAAATCATTTGAAATACAAAACTAAATAGAATTTTAATCAAATTTAGTGCATTTAAAACACAAAAAAAAATGTTGATTTCTTTATACTCATATGTATATCAGTTTTCCAAAACCTTTTCTCACACATGGCACACCACAAGTAAAAATATACAAAAAATACAGGAGTTACAAAGTATTACATATGCTATGGTATGGGAAAAATCTGCACAAAATTGATAAGTTAGTCTCGTAAATACACATTAAGGTGTCCCTTATTTTGATTTAAAAATTTTTGGTCTAAATGCCTACCCCTAAATTTTTGGCATTTGGTCATAATTGCTCAAATATGAAGTGTCATCTCTATAGGACAGCATTAACCTGTGCCAACTTGAGTGCAAAACTTGAATACGGGGAATAATTGACATGGAGATATTAAGCAACAGTAAAAAACTAATAACTAAGAAATACCAAGCAATAAAGTAGTTCTTTGGATAAATACCACAAGTGTTGGCTATACTTCTTTAAAGCTGTTGTAGAAATGGTTGTATCTATCACTTTGTATGCTTTTAAGGGATTCAAGAAGCAGAGATCTTGATTAGGAGTTTTTACAGTTGCACTGCACTTACAACAAACAGAGAAATATCATGCAAACCTCCTTCCCTGATGAATATTTTAAGTTTTGATCCTAGGAGAAACATTTTTAAGAAAAAAGTTACTTTTGTCATCCATTGAGCTTGATGCAGAGTCTGAGGAGAACAGACTTTTAGTTTCTTTTTCATGTCACCTCCCAAAAATAGTACACAGAGTTCTGTAAGTTCGTGGTAATCATTTCTTGGCATTTCTTTCTGCAGTTCAGCTTTATAAAAGTCCAATAGTTCTTGAAGTTATAACTCACTGAAAGACTTTGCATAATCTTTAACACTTTAAAAATTATTAGCATTAACATTTTCCCAACTTTCTCTTGTGTGAAGAGAAGGATGTCAGGATTACTTGTTACATCACATGTTTTCCTTTCAAATGCACTTTGTAACACTACTTCATAGATGTGATGATGACAGAGAAAAACAACAACTCTCTATCCAATATTTGTTCCATGAGGATGCATGCACCATTTATGTGGCCGGTGTTTAAGGCAACTACAAAGAATTTTTACATTATTTTCCAAACTCCAACCTGTTAGTGTATTTCCAATGGCTTGTGCTTGCTCTTTAACAGAAGCATTTTCTAAGTTTAGAACACCAACGAGCTGTTCTTTATCTCCAAATGTTACGATTATTGGGAGTCTTTCTTCTTTTGGTTCCTTAACTTTCCATGCAGTTAACAGCTTACCATCCCAGTGAACAGTTAGATTTTCAGAGATATCATTATTAAATACAGCTTTAATGGCTTCAGCCCATTCCTTTCTTTTATTTTGCCTGATTTGACAAATGGAAGATCTATTAAAAGGAAGTTCTTCAGTGTTGTGACCAAGTGCTTCTGTTATTGCCTGGAGGATATAAACAGATTCTCTTACACTCAATTGACATCTGTCTAAAGCAGCCACTAATTTGTCAGTAATCAAATCTTTGGTGCCTTGTCTTGCAGTATTTTACTTTGGTGTGTCATCCAGAAACTGCAAAGACGACTCACCATCATTGCATTCATCCGAACTGAAAAATATACTGTCTTCATTTTCAGATAACGAGAGAGGAAGTGCAACTGAAGAGGTTGGTGTTACTGATTGCTTACTTTGTATTTTCTACTCTTCAAGTTTCCTTTTCCTTGACCATTTTTCTTTTTTGGTGAGTTCTCAATTCACACCTCTTTGCCTTAGTTCTCTCTGTCACTGTAAAAAGATTCTATTCTCATCTAATTTGATGGTTTGTAGAGCATTTGCATATGTCATATCAAACAGGTTGTCCAAATTGTTTTGAATATACTTTTCATGCACTTAAAATTCTCGAGACTTTCTTGCATTCATTTCTAATTTTCTTCATATCAAATACACAAATCTGTGAGGTTTTACACAATGCTGAAGAGATCTTGTTGGAATTCTCACTTTTTCCCAAAAGATCACATACATTTAACCTCTCATATCTTATAAAATAAAACAGCCAGCACTTGTCTATTTGACGGAAATTTGCCTCCAGTCCAGTTATTTGATGTTTCACATTCCCTATTAAAAATACACTATCCTTGGGACAACATAATATTAGTGTAACAGAGCACAAATACATCTAACACAGCTGGAAACAGAACACAAACTGACAGCGCTCCAAGTGTAACCACCATTCCAGGCCCGAGCAAATCGCAGCACATCCAGACACATTGATGCTCAAGTTTGCACGGATTAATATTCATCGATCATCAAGAAATTAAATATTTACTTGTCTTTGAGTGAAAGGGGAAAAAAATGAAAAAATTTTGAATAATAAGGGACACTCTAATGCACATGTATAATTATTTATTTTTAACAAATAGGGGAGTTAATAAACTTCATTACTGGAGTATTTATAAAATTTAAAGACTTCTAGCTTGTTACAACAACAATTTCGTTTATCATCAAATTGACTATCTAAGTAGCCATGATAAGAACCTTGATGATGGCTACTTACATAGTCAAAAATGTTTAATAAATAAAGAAATTGTTGTTAGAACAGACTAGAAGTATTTAAATTAGAAGAGTAATGACAATTTGTTCATTAATTAGAAACTTTGAACAACATGGTAATCATGGCTACAAACCCATGATTTTCACTATCAAAAAATGTCAAGAAGCTGGCCAATACATTTGATTACAAAGACGACGCATACCTTTATTGAACAGCCTGAAAAATTCAGAACTAATCATAAAATGTGATCTATGCTTTGAAAACCAAGACGCCAACGCTCACTGTTACTAAGTAAAGGCTCTCGCTTATATATCATGGCAAGAAACTGTTACCGGAAAAGCAGTGTCAAGCACTCATCCATAAATGAGCATTAGGAAAATTTATGCTGTTGGATAATGAGATGTACTTTGAGCTGAATGTGGCAGTCAACAAGTCCACCTAACCCTCAATTTACTTGATACTTGATCAGTACAATTCCACTTGCAAAAAAATTCTGGGAAATTGTTTGCTTGGATTCAATCCTAACTACCCCAGAGTGGTAAACCAATGCCTTGACTATCGATTGAATCAGAAAAATAAATCTTGAAGCAATACAATACTAACAAGGGGAGCCTCGAACACATTTTGTAAATTTGGATTGTCCTCTCCATGGTTATTTTCAGGAACTAAATAGTATCCCCTTAAAGTCACACTCCACTTCAAATAAGCGCGCACAATTTATTTGAGAAAAATCTCAATTTTAAGTTGTAACAACAGATTGCTTTTAGACCCAGGGAATCAGTAGATATTGAAAAAAAAAAGTAACTTTCATGTATGCATATTACATCCAAAAACTGATAGTTTTTGAGAATTATTCAGCATTCTGGTGAGGGTCAACAAGTTCAAAGGAATCTGGTGTGTACGGGGTCAACTAATTATTCTATAGACAAAAGTTACAAGAACATTGTTATGATATAATGAATAAAAAACGCACCACGGAGACCGGCATGCAAGCAGACCAACCAGCCAGAATAGGAAATCGGAGAACATGGACTTCAAAATCGTGGTGTATAGAATGAAACAATGGATTTCTGAAACTTCTGGAAAAAGTCAAGTCAATTTGTTATTGATGAACTGACTAAATAGTGGGAGCACGCAGTGGTAAGAACCCGCACATCACTGTGAATTCCAAGCTATTGATTTTATTTGAGCAAATGCAAAGATCTATACCAGTTGCCATAATACAACTTTTATGGAACAAAGTGTCAAAACTTTACGGTAACTAGCTATTTTGCAAGTCATGCCACAAAACAAGAGACACTGTACCCAAAGCACAATGAAAATATATGAAAACCTTTGGGAAACAGGCAGCATTGTGGAGTGAATATTGGAGAGTTGTAGGAAAGGAAGAAACTCACCAACCTGGATGATAACAGTTCAGAATGAAATGAATATACCACTCCAATTCAGGATTAAATCCAAATTTAAAATTCTTCAAGCAGTTTTCGCTACACCTCTATGTTATCATTGAAATCAGCCTTATTTTCAGGGCTACATTGATGCTTCAAAGAACAAGTCTGATTAGTATTAACCTATCCGATGTTGAAATTCTTCTCCGTTGCCTGTGATGCCATGTTGAATTTTGTCAATGTTAAGTCTAACGAAAATTACGCATTGTTTTAAAAAGTAATCATGGCTATTTTATCATCCAAAATTATTGTTTTATTTTTCACAAACAAAATAGATATATTAATATATANAATTAATGAATACACTGTGTACAGTAATTTACCTGATAAGACAGACCTCAGAAAAATACTTTATGAGGCATAAAGCTGTCTTTATCATGAAAATTAATTAACTAAGGATTTTTTTGCCCTGCCAGGGTGTGGCCGAGTTATCCGGAGTGCCGGGTTATTGAGTGCCAAGTTTCGAGGCTCTACTGTACTAATAAGTAAAATCTCCATTAAGTCTAACACCTCATGAGATATGACATGTGACCACCCTCTCTCTCTCTCTCCATCCCCTCGACCTTTCACAACCAAAATTTAATAGCATCAATGTCCCTCATATACAAGACACCACAGCAAATTTTGTTACTTAATCTTTACCCCATCTTGAAATATTAAGCAAAATAGACACCAACACACACAAAATTTTACCTTTTTTTTTTTTACTTTTTGAATTCAGGAGGTCTCAAAACGTGGAGATTTGCTAAAAACTTTGAGGGTCAAATTTGACACATTTCCAATTCTTTCCCTTGTTATGTATATATAATAGCCAGGAAAGTAAAACTTAAACACCAATTCTTATAGTTATATTGGTTTTATGCATATATATCTTGGCTTTATGTTTTATAGATGTATTGTACATAGTATGAAATAAGGTATTGTTTTTAACTTAGTTAAGTTAGATATAAAAT